TCTTGTGTGTTGTGTTTTAAGTTAGGGTAATTAATTTGTGCGACCACGACATTGCAACATTGCCCACATATATAATATTCAAATAAATAATATTTACGCAAATGAAAGTTGCTTTGAATCTATCTCTCTCTGCCTCTCTCTGCTTGCCTTAATAAAAAGACCTTTCCAGAATATTTGCTTGCTTGTGATTTTTAAAAAAATAAAAAAATAGTAGTTTTGTTTTTAGTTAGTATACATGATTATGAACTTATATATAAGATGTATTTCTGATATTAAATGAAAAGATAGTTTGTTTTGTTTTTGAAACAGTTCGACTGTACGATCGATCAATGTTAAAAGTTCCCAACACATCCTCTTTATTTAAGAGTAATTTTTTTATTAAAAATTTAATAGAGTTTCATTTACATTTAAGACATCCTAGGTCATTTACTACTACCAATTTACTCAATCAATTCCATCATCATATGGTCTTATAATTTCACAGCTCATGTAGTCCACACAATATATATATATATATCCTACAAGTAGGTTCAATATGAATATAGTCCAAACATCATATCATAAAATTTAAAAGAAAGAAATATTAATATGCAAAGAAAGCATTTACAACATAATAATATGCAAAGAAAGAAATATTAATATGCAAAGAAATATTTTAAAAGGATTAATTACAAGATAACTAAAATGCTACATGCTAAGCTGAACTTTTATAAATACATCAAGGTTTACACAAAAGTATACTACATAAATGTGTTAATTCCCTTTTGTTTAAGTTAAGGATTTACATAAGCTTCACAAAGTAGGTTCCTAAACTAATAATCTCCATGGATATTTGATAGACATGTTACATAAACGAACATGCCGTTATGTTGATAAAGAATATATAAATGCTCATGTAATGAATACGAATGAAGTATAAATTTTCTATCTGATCCATAAGAATTTTAACAGAGAACTTATATTTTGCTTGTAAATCTTTTAACTCACTTAACACTTATTTGTATATTCTTAATTTTAATACTTTTATTTACTTACACGAACTGGGTGACCTTGCAAAGTCTAATCTTGAAATTCATTTTCCAACAATCCTATCATGGATGTCATTAGCCGAAGCTAATCATATAATTCATATCCTGACAATCCTATCACAGATGACATTAGCCGAAGCTAATCTTGTAAATCACTAGACTTTATTAACATTGAACACGACATTTATTGTAATTACATTTACTAGAAGAATTTTAAATTGTAAAAGTGCAAATAGGAGAAAAATCCCGCACTTGCTTCGCCTCTCTCGTGACTTACCTTAATAGAAGATCCAATCCTGGTTGCTCCTCTTGAATCATAAGAAAGTTTTTGGTTATGATTCCTTCAAGCCGTTATTACAGAGAATCCATATTCATCCATTACTCATATGTTACTTTCTATATATATTCATTTCCTCATAATAGCATACATATATCACATATATTTTCAGAGTTAGTATCTTAATATGCAAGTGTTCGTATGACTCAATTCTTTTATATTCTTATATATAGTATTCATGTGAAAAAGTCTACTATTATTGTCTAACTTTGAACTGTTATTGTCCAATTTTCAACTGTTACTATCCCACCATTATTGTCTAACTTTGAATTGTTATTGCCTAATTTTCAATTGCTACTATCCAACTATTACTGTCTAATTTTGAACTGTTACTGTCTAATTTTCAACTATTACTGTTCAATTTTCAACTGTTACTGTCTAACCGTTACAGTCTAATTTTGAACTGTTACTATCTAAACACTCACCAGATTTTTTTTACTATATCTAAAGTTCTAAAACTTCATCTTAAGTGAGATTGATCTTCTTAGAAAGCTAAGACACGAGGCTACAAGTTCTCTGAAGGAAGGAGAACCTAGTTTTGCCTCTAAGATAGTCAAAATTGCCCATTAACTAATTAGTCGTACTGCCCTACATAATCAGTCATGACTCAGTCTGAGTTGGTAACCTATAATTGGAGTTCTACATCTCCAAATTGAGGAAGACCAGTTTTCTTGGTTAACTAACATTCAAATCTAAAATTTCTATAAGGAACCCTATTCTAATTACATCATCCTTCTACTTGAAATCTCATCAAAAGTCAGGAGACAAGTCTCTCTAGATTCGTCTCCCTCTCCCCTTCAAACAATACTTTCATAAACTACATACCACACCCATGAATTAACTTAATCTTAACAATAAGTACTTTTTCCCCAATTTATATCCAAGAACCTTAACCTATGATTCAATATCAAGGCATCAATTCTTTATCAAATTACAAATGAATTTTTTTAAGATCATGTTTAGAACACCTTACCCGATACAAATTAAGATTTTGATCTTCAACCAATTGCAGATTCTCAACTCCCTCCTTTCTTTTCTTCTTGTTCAATTTCTTAGTAATTCTTTGCCCTCAAGTGTTTATCCCATCTATGAACTCTTAATCTTGGATGAGTTCTTGAAATTTCAGTGTTTCTCTCTTGATTTCTTAAGAATGGGTATAAAACTCCCTATTTTCACTCCTTATAGTTCAAATATTTTTTTTGAGTGTATTATTCTCTTCCATTATTTGCATTTAGGCCTTTTTTTTCTTTTGAGTGTATTATTCTCTTCCATTAAATCCAACCCTCAATAGTATCGAGTTTATTATAATGTCCCAAATTATTTCACCTGAAAATTCATATTAAAAAATTTATGAATTCCTATTTTTATTTAACCATATGAATGAATTTCTTCCCTTTTATTCATTTATTTAATTATTTTTCCTGGGGTTTATAATTTTTATATTGATATTAGAGCGATTATGTTTTTTATTTAATAAGATAATAATCTCCTTACTGAGAAGGATTTTTATTTGACCATAAACAAACCAATGATTAAAAAAATATAATAATAACTTAATTTATATCAGACAAATGAATAATACAGCTTACCTCATGTAAGGTTTATTAGGGGTGCTCATACCTTCTTCTTATGCAACTAGTCTCCATACCCGAACTCTAAGACCAGTTATGATTTCTAATGATCAAAATACTAGATGATGACTCATTCCCTCTTTTTATTAATAAAGAACAAGAATTCCTTGTCCTTTTCACCTATACCATTTTCCCATTCTATTCCTGATTAAGGAAGATGATCACTATGACGTTGCGTTCAAGCAACATTTACTCTCTTAAAGAATGATATAGGCCCTCTTTCTTGAAACTAAACTTTTAGAAACCTTTGCCTTCATTGATCATTTCTTTACAAGTATGTTTTACTCTTGACAAGGTTAAAGATGCAATTTAATACTATGATAATAATAAAGTTGTTAAACCTAATGGGGTCAACTTCTTTTTCATTAAGAAAGCATGAAATACAATGAGAAGTGACATCTTTAATATGGTTAATGACTTTTATTTGATTGATTCCCTTTCTCGTGGCATCAATAGTTCATTCATCTCCTTCTTAAAGTGGCTAGCTCTAACAACCTTAAAGACTACATATACATATGAGTTTCATTAGAAGTCTTTACAAGGTTATCTCAAAAGTGTCAGCTAACATACTTAAGGATGTTATGCCTGGGTTATTGGTGTTGATAAGAATGCTTTCATAAAAAAAAGGACAAATCTTTGATAATGTTTTTTATTATCAATGATGTATTAGTCACTTAAAAAGAAGAAAACTTAAAGTTTATCTATTCAAGTATAACATTTATAAAGCTTTTAATTGAGTGATTTAGGGGTATTATGATCACATGGATGAGATTTGGTTCATGTTTGAAAGGATGGATCCACAAATTTATTTTGACAAAAAAATTGCTATTCTTTTGAATGGCTCTCCAGCTAGAGAATTTTCTATAGAAAAGGGCTCGCATCAAGGATATTCTTTATCACTATGTTTTTTCAATATATGCACTGAAGGACTTAGTAGAATGCTAAATAAAGGGTGTGATTTGAGATTAATTGATGATTTTAGTTTTGGTCAGGCTTAATTGAATATTATGTAACAAAAAGTAAATTTACCATCATAATTAATAGCAATATTTACAAAAATAAGAAACTGATTCTATTATCACGGGAGGCACAAAATCTGGTAATGTTCATGGTTAGAGCTAGGCTTGAGTTGACACTTGTTTGAAATGGTTAGTTTCCTTGATAACCATAAGGCTGATGGTTCACAAAGTGTGACTAAAAGTTGTGACCTTGTGGCCTGACTTTGTTATCGCAAGTTATGCAGTTTTTCTTAGCTCAAATTATCTTTGGAACATTGATTTTATGAATTTGCTTTTTTCTTTCTTTCGCCTATCTTTTTAGCATTTTAATGCTCATGGTGGATAACCCTATAGATAATGATATCTCATTACATTGAAAATGAGATATTTATTAGATATTGTTTTTCATGTAAAACCTTTTTTTTTATTCAAGGAAACACCACTCCTAGAAAAGCACATTTTATAGACCCAGGTGAGGGAATAAAATCCTGACTGTCCTAAGTTCTTATAAGAGATGCACGTCCTGACTCGAACTCGAGACCTGCTGTGCAGATGTCAAGCCCTTTGCAATCACACCACGCTCTTTAGAGACTTTTTCATGTAAACCATTAACACAAAATCTTGTTATGGAATAGTGTCTTAGGCTTTGCAAAGTAAGTCTAACTTACTGGATTTGGATGTCTCTCCCACACAAATTAATATTTTTGTATTTTTATACATAATCTCTCTCTTTAATTCATAATCAACCACCTCCTCAACACTCTCCTATCATCATTTTATAGTGTATATCAAGCTATTTTAGTTCTCTAATTTTTTTATTTTTGGTTTATCCAATAAATTTGCATTTGTTTATACTATAATCTATTAAACAAACCATAATAAATGATGGTGCAGAAGAATTGTATTATTACTAAATGAATCATAATCCGAATGAAAAAATATACAATAGTAAAATAATCAAATTAAATTATAAAACCTAATTAAACATAAAACAATAGATTGGTACCTGTATGTTCCTCAGTGAAAGTGTCCCATATAGCTGGTCCTCTACCATGTTTGTTTGTTTCACCTTCATACTGCATATCATAATAAAATAATAACGAAAAATTAATTAACATATCTAGTATTATTTTAAATAATGTTCTGTTGTCCCCTCCTAATTACTGCACAAGAAGCAGCAAAATTTAGAGTATGTACCTGGTAAGCTGATGAGGATGTTCCGAAAACAAAATCATCTGGGAAAGAATAACGGCTGAAGTCATCGATGCTTCCCATTGCAGTCCAAGTATTGAAGCTGGCACTTAGATAAATAGGATTGGATATTATAAAGGCTTGGGCTTATTGTGTGGAACAGAGGTTTGTCTGGGTACAAAAGAATGTAACGCAAGTTTGTAAATGAGGCAGAGATTCTGTGCTTTTCCTTTTCCTCGATAGGAGAGATGGTGAGTTACAGAGCTGTAGAATGTATGAAGATGTAGAGATTTGATGCAAGATGGCATGGATGGAACGACCATTTTATAGGCACTAGCTCCCAGCGTGTACAAGCAGCATTTTCTTGACCTTTTCTTCTTCTTTTTTTTTTTTTAGTTTAAATTAAGGATTAATTTCTTTGACTTTGACAAAGTTATCTCATAAATGCTTCTCTTTTTGTCCATTTTTTTATTGTCCTGGTGAGGACGCATTACTTCATAATTTGTAAGAAGTTTCAAATGATCAAAATAAGTTTATGGGTTATAGGAAAAAAACGATGGGTAAAATCAAGCTGCCTCTGTAGGGTCCCATAACAATAGACTCTTTTCTTTCACCCATCCACTTCGGGGTGGCTTCCTAAAATCTTTCCTTTTCAACTTTTCCACGAAGACAGTAGATCAGTTCCCCATATAAAAATTGTATTAAAAAAATTTCTAAAAGAAAAACATTTCTAAAATATTATTGTAAGCACATGTACATATACAATAAAGCCAAAAGAATTACAAACAATTGAAAACTTTAGCTGACAATGATCAGGAAAAAACTCAAATTAACAACAAAGTGCCCCACCCAATACACGGCAAAAAATAAAGTGAAAGGCATCGCCGGCCACCTCAACCAATCAAAGTATACCTTCCATCAATATAACCATCTAGCAAGCTAGTAGATAAAACATCACAACCAGCCACAGCTGAGAGATGGACATCATCAAACCAGCACTGCACCCACATTTGAGAAAAGCCACCAGTAGCTACGAAAGAACACCGGCAGCCCTAACAAACAAAACAATAACCAGCCTGAAAGATGTTTTATTCATGAAAATATAAAACCATGTAGAAGAAAATTTGAAATTTACAAAAAGCAAGAGGTACAGGAGTGTAAGAATTATCAAACACCCTCTCGTACAAGAGATACACAGGAGCACATGATAGTGTTAGTATGGTATGTCATACATGTACGTCGCGATAATCATTTTTCTGAATTGAACATGGTTTTTCTGAATTGAGAATGGTATGGATGAAAAAGATAAGAAACCTTTTATTTATTAGTAAAAAGAAAAAAATAAAAGTTATTATCTAATATTTTGGTTATTAATATCCTTATGACCTAAAATTTTGTGTAAGGAGATTGATTGTAAAATTTTGTGTAAGGAGATTGATTGTATAAAAAAAATGTATTAATTAATATATTTTATCTGTGATAAGTTGTATTATTTATTTATATGATATAAACTAAGAAAATATTATAATTAACTATTAATCTATTTCTAGCCTTCCTTCTCATAAGACAAAATGATATTTCATTGATATTTTTATCACTAAAAATATTAATTAATCTTAGAGTTTGAGTAAGATGATTGATTGCATAAAAAAATTATATTAATGCTCTTAATATATTTTATCTGTGATAATCTATATTGTTTATTTGTTTAATATAAATTATAAAAATATTATTTTTTTTAATTATTTATATGTTTATAAATAAAAAAATTCCTCCTCACGTGAAAAAATGATATTCCATTGATGAGTTTGTGAATTTTATTGATTGAAAACTCTAAATAGTGTAATTCTTAGGATCTACTCTATGGTCAGGATATTGTTTGTTAAAAAAACCATTGTAGCCTTTTTCCATTGGTCATCGGTTTCGAGCATTCAACTAGTTGAGACTGAATCTTGTCATGAAGCGTGATTCAAAAGCGGTGCCTTTGGATATCTCCCTTGACACTGTAAGACATCGTAATTAAATTCTGCTGAATTAGTCAAGTCAAGCCTCTCGTACTTGAGATTTGTCAGCATTTGAAGGTATTTGAGGCTAAAAAAGGCGGGTAAAATGAAGCTGCCTCTGTAGGGACGTCCCATAACAACAGACTGTTTGTTTTCACCCATCCACTTGGCGGTGGCTTCCTAAAATCTTCCCTTTTCAACTAATAGATTAGTTCCACAATATATATTAAAAACATTTCACAATTAGATGTTAGCATATTCTTTACCATTTTACGTCTATACCTCCTTGTAACATCATGATAGTGTTAGTATGATATGTCATATATATATATATATATATATATATATATATATATATATATATATATGGCATTGCAATAATTATTTTTTTGTATTAAAAATTATATTGATGGAAATAACAAGGAATTATTATCCTTTATTAGTAAAAAAAATAAATATTATCATTTAATATTTTAATTAATTAAAACCGTAACTGATTTTAGAATTTAGATAAGGAGATTAGCTATGTAAAACAATCCTCCTCGTAAGATAAATAATATTTCATTGATATTTTGATAATTAAAATTTTTATCTGATCTTAAAATTTGAGTAAAATAGCTAATTGCATAAAAAATATTAATATTTTTAATATATCTTATTTATAAATTGCATTATTTATTTAATTAATAAACTAAAAAAAATATATTTTTTATTCAATCTGTTTATAATAATAAAGAAAAAAAGCCCTCCTTGCAAGATAAAATGATATTACATTGATGAGCTTGTGGATTCTATTGATTCAAAACTCCAAATGATGTAATTCTTAGGATCTATTTCATGGTGAGAACAATAATTCAACCATGAGCTATGAGGTAACTACTCTTATTATTATATAAAAAGTGAAGTGTATTTTGATAATGAAAAAAGTGCCTCATATAAATACTTTCAAGGTTAGCGTTGTTTGGATAAGTTTCCTTTGACTTTTAATATACACGTTGTCTCCAACATCTTATGCCTATCTCTTTCATTTATTAAGTTATATACTTAATTAATTAAGCATTGTCATCTTAAAACTAATGACACTCTAATTTACAAAGCAAAATGCGCTGAGATATTGTTCGTTAAGAAACCGTTGTAGCATTTGCCATTGGTCATCGATTTCGAGCATTCAACTAGTTGAGACTGCATCTTGTCATGAAGCGTCAATGGTCATAATTTCTTTGTACTTTCAAGCTCTTACGTTATCCGTAGGACCACTTTCGACAGCAACCTGTAGGGTAGACGAATCGCCATCGTAGCTTGAATTCAATGTCCCATCTCTAGATTCGATCACGTAACTTTCAAACAAAGACCTTCCATCGTAATAAAATTCTGCTGAATTCTACTTTCAAACTAATCCAGCAGCCACATCCCATTTGAACGTGTTTCTTAGTCATAGCCAAATTAAAAGCATGAGTTTTTTATGGCACGTATGGGGTTTTATAGTAAATCTGTTAAATATTACACGATCGAATCCACATATAATACATTAAGGCATGCATATAAATTCAAGGTTGTGTTAGTGTGAATTCTTGTTGGAGATGTATCTATACACGGGATCGACAATACGAATAATCTTTCAGTTTAATTTGTAAGAGTTTATGGGAAGTAAATATTTATATAGATGGTAGGGATACTAATCTTTGAATCCTTCAATTTTCTTCACTCGCTTTCTTTGATTATGCAGGCTTCATGACTGGAATGACTGAACTTTATCTATTGGTAATAGAAGTAAAATTATAAATATATAATATATGTTTTTTTGTTTTATTAGTCTCGCAATCCCAACAAAAACCCACCTCATTCTTATTCTTCTTTTTCAGTAACTTTATTCTAAATTAATATTATTTGAACTTCTGAATTTTTAAATTTGTTATAAATATTTTATTTTTATATTAATTTCATTATTTTGCTCTTCTATTGAATAGATGTTTTTTTTTAAGTTATATATATTTTTAACTTATTACTGACGGTGTTATCGACAGATTCAATCTATTAGTATATTCTAGAGAATTCAAAAAGAATTACTGCAAATATCACTTTCACTGCTTAATTATCGACAAAATGGCATATGATCTTTTTATCGATTATATGCCAAATTTACCAAGGAAAATACCAATAGCGAAAAAAAATCATTTATTGAATTACATATGGTTTTTCTATTAATGATATATCATATTCATCAATGAAAATATGGATGGAATGAAATAAATAATTATTTTTTTATATTTTTATCATCAATAAATCCATTGGTAATTTTATACCAGCAGATTCACCAACAAATCACAAATCATCAATGAGAGTTTTAAAGTATTTTTGTTTATAAGTCCATCAATAAAATTTATGCATATGAACTAAGAGTAAAAGTACCAACAAAACATTTTATCAATAAATGTAAAAGTTTTAGTAGTGACTTCAATTTTTACTCCAAACAAAATTTTATTTCAATTTTGTTCTTGATTTTAAAAAATTCTTGATTAAAGATTTTTATATAAACTCAACCATGGCTTCCATGGAAATCATGATAAAAAGACAATGGTATTTAATAAAAAAAATTAATTTATACGAATTTTTTAATGGAAGTTCCTAGTAGAGTAATCCAAACTATATATTTGGGAGCAAAATTTGTATAAAAGTAACTCTATAGTAGGAAGATATTTTTTGAGGTATGCTCTTATGTCCCTTAATTGATAAGCTTTTACTCATGTTTCATTTTCTCTTATAAAATGATCAGATTCTTTGAGAAATAACCTCAATCTGCAGAAAACTACTTCAGCATGGCAATTTAAATACACACAAGTATATTATAGTTTTCCTCTAAGGTAGAAATCATGAAAAAACTCTTTTTTTTTTAATTTATAATTTTCTTTTAATTTAAGATATTTTAATGAATATTGATATTTCATATAAATAGTATTTTATACTAATAAAAATACAGTGTAAAATTATTGAATTATAAATTTAAATTTAGAAGTTAGACAGAAGGTATATAAACATGATATAAATTTAAATTTAAAATCTCGTTTTATACAAGTGTAAAAAATTATACAAATAATTTTAATTTCAAGCTTGCTTGGATAAAATAAAAAAATGAAACGTCTAAGTTAGAAAAGCCAAAAATGAGTTGTAGCTTCATACATTGGAGTGTTAGGGTAAACTTGTCAACATATATAGCTTCAAATATAACACAATAGAATCCACGTATATGAATCTTTACATATTATAGAATATAAATAAATTAAA